CGCGCCCCCGCGGAACCGGTCGGGCTGGCGCCGCAGGGCTTGGCTTCGCGTACCCGACGCCGCCTGGGTCCCCCACCGGCTCGGCTTGGGGGCGAGGAGCCGGCGCCGGGGTCGCGGCGTGCGGAAGCTGCTGACCTTTGCCCGAAGCTGCTCTTACGGCCTGCAGGGGTCTGGCTGCCCTCGGGGTAAACCGGGCGGGGCAAGACCATAAGCCTAGAGAAGCTAGAACACGAGAAAACAACGGGATGCGGACTGGGACGTGCGGGTTGGCAGGACCTGGCTGGTCACAGGGCTTGCCGCACGCCTAGCACTGCTGGGAAACCAAGGCCCAGGGGAGAGAGGCCTGGCCGTCCGACCCCTAGGGCAAGGCCCGGCCAGAACCCAGCACTCCTGACGTCTAGGGGGTTGGCTGTTTCAGGGCGACCCAGGTGCTGGGCCTGGAGTTGACTTAGCAGCCTCTCCTAGGCCGAGGCCCAAGCTTCGGGACTCCCACTGACCGCACATTTCCAGGACACGACCGCAGGCGTCCAAACCCTGCCGCCCACCAGCCTGACCAATGCCTCTCACTCTTAACAAGCCACTTTGAAGATGAAACGCTGAGCCCCCATGCCAGCGGCCGCCAACCTGCCTCTCCCCTTCTGCCAAGTTGCCCAAGCCCCTCCCTGCTCCAACCTACCGCCGCTCCACATGGGAGGGGTGGGGTAGAGAGCTGAAAAGGAGGCTGTCTGGGTGCAGGGGATGGAGGCAGACACCCAGAGGGACAGGTCCAGCCAGAAGGCCTGGTCTTGGCTCCTCTGGGCTCTGGCTCCATAGCTGACTCACAGGCGACAGTCCCAAACCACTTCCCTCTAGGTGCCTCAGTTTCCCCATCTATAAAATGGGAGTGATGGGTCCCGCCCAAGGGGCTGTGGGGAGCCTGGCTAATTAAACCTCAGATGAAAGGCCAGGATGGGAGCAGCCCTGGGGAGGAAAGGCAGCTTGGAGAAGAAGACTGTCTGGTTTCCCTGTGTGGGGCCCAGAGGGCGCTGATAACTGCATGGCCCGGGCCTTCATCACTCTGCGGGAGGCGAGTCGGTTATTAAGCCCTTGTCACAGTAGAGACAGCGTTCCAAGGGCCTGAGAATCGACACCGGCTCTGGCCCCAGACTGACAGTGTGGCCACTGCCAGCCTGCAGCCTACCTGAGCCTGGTTCCTTGGGCCGGGAGTCTGCAGGGTGCTGTTTCCAATACTTGGTGGACAGTGGACTCACAGAGACTCATGGCAACCCTGAGGTAGCAAGAGAAGGTACCTCTAGGGATCCCAGAGAGGTGGCATCCTTTGTAGAAATTCCAGAGCTGCTCAGAGGTGGACCTGGACTTTGGCATCTAACCCCTGGGGTCCTCAGTTCTCCTGGGTGGGTGTCCAGGTCCCTGGGTGGGCTTGGCTCTCGCCTGCCTGCTCCGGTGTTTGCTCCCCAGGCGGAAGGTGGTACTGGCTCTGTTCCAGGCACAGGCCAGGCAGAGTTTAGTTCAGCCCATCATCAAGCTGGCCAGGGAGGGTGACTTCCCCATTGTTGGAGCCCAAACACGGTCCATGGCCAGCCTGTTGTACAAGGAGCCCCGCACTTGATGCCCTCACCTTGTGCCTTCTCTTCCCGCAGTTCACACTATCCCCATGCAGCCTACTTCTGGGAAGACCCTAGACACAAATCTGCTCTGGACCCTCTTTCCTTTCCTTTATGGCTCAATTTGCACCCTAGCCCAGGCCACCATCATCTTCTGCCCAGACCGCTGCAGTAGCTCCTGTGTCGATCTCCCTCCTACCACCTTCTGCACCGACACACATGCTCTGCCTGGAGCACGCCCCGTGGCACCAGGAGCATAGGGTTTCCCTGTCACATGCTGTCGCCCACTTGCCTCCCCAGCCTTGGTTCCTGTCCCCTCCCCTTGCCACCCTGCCTCTGCAACCGCTGGGTGCCTCCCATACACTCTAGGCTCATTCTCGCTCAGGGACCTTGGCACCAGCTGTTCCTTTGGCTGATCACCATCCTCCAGCTCTGCACAGTTGAGCTCTCATTCAGGTCTCAGCACCCTCACCTGCCTCCATCACGTCACCCTTAAACATGTGCACCACAGGGGTTCCTTACTTGTTTGTCTTGTATCACAGGATCCTCGGTGCCCAGCACATGGTGGGCACTCAAGAAACATCTGTTGACTCAGGGGAGGGGCGGATGACTGATATTGAGCTGGCCCCGAGCTAACTGCTGATAAGCTGTAGTGGCTGTCTTCATGATGCTCACAGAATAGCTCGGGTTTACCCAGGTGCACATAGCTTGTCTGGTTCCTCCACTGGCTATGAACTATAGTCACATACCAGTAGTCTGGGATCAGATCCAACCTTCAGAGGTGTTTTGTTGTTTGTTTTTTTGAGACAGGGTCTTGCTATGTAGTTCAGGCTGGTCTTGACCTCACTATGTAGCCCACACTGGCCTTGAACTTGCAGTGATCCTCTTGCCTCAGCCTCCCCAGTACTGGGATTACAGGTGTGTGCCACGCCCAGCTTTCAGAGGTGTTTTGTTTGAACTAATCTATCCTCTTAAAAAAAAGGCACGGGGTGTGGTGGTGCACACCTGTAATCCCAGCACTAGGGAGGCTGAGGGTCACTGTGAGCTTGAGACCAGCCTGGGCTACAAAATGAGCTCAAGGCCAGCCTGAACTGCATACTGAGACCCTGTCTCAAAAAAAAAAAAAAAATGTCGAGCTGAATTAAAAATCAAAGCTGGGGATGGTGGTGCACGCCTGTAATTTGAGCACTTGGGAGACTGAGGCAGAAGAATCATCTAGAGTTCAAGACATCTTGGACTACAGAGTGAGACTTTTTCTCAAAAACAAAACAAAATAAAAAAACCAAAACCACATACAATAGGCTTATATATTTCACGGATGAATCTGGGTCTGTGACTTTTTTTTTTTTGAGATAAAGAGTTTCACTATGTAGTTCAGGCTGGCCTTGAATGTGCAGTCCTCCTACCTTAGCCTTCTGAATGCTGTGTGACTGCCTTTAGATAGACGTTTTCTATAGTCCTCATCACTCTATGGTCTCCCTGACAGCCAGCATCTGCTATCTATCTATCTATCTATCTATTTATTTATTTATTTTTTGTCTTTTTGAGATAGGGTCTCGATATGCCGTTCAGGTTGGCCTTGAGCTCATTTTGTAGCCCAGGTTGGTCTCGAACTCACAACAATGCCCCTGTCTCAGCCTCCCGAGTGCTGGGATTACAGGCGTGTGCCACCACATCTGTTTGAACTAATCTATCCTCAATCCACACCTGTTTGAACTAATATCCTTTGAACTATCTAGCCCAGCTCTGCTATATATTTATGTATGTGTTTATTTATTTTACTTGTAGCATTGGGCTACAAGTAAAATAATTTTATTTTACTACAAGCACTGGGCTTTTGCTGCTATGCCCCGCAGCCCTTTTTTCAAAAAAAATTTTTTGGTACCGGGAGTTGAACTCAGGACCTTGCACTTGCCAGGCAGGCACTTGTGCCACTGAGCTATATCCCTGGCCCGCTTTTATTATTTTTAAACTGCTAAATTGCCCAGACTGAGCCAGGTGTGGTGGTGCATGCTTATAATCCCACCACTAGGGAAACTGAGTAGGAGGATCACCATTAGTTTAAGACCAACCTAGACTACATTGTGAGTTCAAAACCAGCTAAGACCCTGCCTCAGTAAATAAGTACATAGCTCAGGCTGGACTCAAAACTTTCAATCCTCCTGCCTCAGCCTCTCAGAGTGCTGGGATTATAGCTGTGTACCACACCCAGCAACATTCGTTGCCTTTTGTCATTTGATTTCACTACTCTTTCCTTTTTCCTGAGACAGGTCTCCCTATGTAGTTCAGGCTGGGCTTGAACTCAGGGCGATCCTCCTGCTTCAGCCACCAAATCACTGGGATTACAGGCATGTGCTACAATTTTCTTTACACTAAGGAAATTTGCTCTGTATCTATCCCTACCAAAACTTGGAATATGAAAGGCAAATGGAAAACACAAGGAAAGGGGCTGGGGATTTAGCTCAGCGGCAAAAGCGCCTGCCTGGCAAGCGCAAGGTCGTGAGTTCGGTTCCCGGTACCGGAGAAAAA